CCGGCGACAGTTCCTTTAATTTGTTCAGTACGACCGCTTCTCTGCTATACTTTTCAGCAGTAAGCTCCACACAACGACAAAGTGACTAGCATGAGGTGGCAAATGGTCATATTTGGATAACATCCGAGCATAAAATATTAATTATATTACATACATATGACATAGCCAACTTCAACGAATTCAAAACCTTTACATTTTCTATTTCGAATACACGTGTCCCGCACCATGCGCGTTTTTTAATATAATTAGTACTGAATCTGTTTATAAGAAATCAAAATGTGTTCTATGAAAAATCTTTAGTGTCAATATTTATTAACATTTTACAATTGGAAACATATTTTGTGCAAAAACCATAGCAGTATAATAATGGGATCCTAAGGAAAATTATAAATTTTAATAACTTGTTATTAAAAATTTATAATTTTCCTTAGGATCTTCCATTATTATACTGCTATGGTTTTTTGCACAAAAATATGTTTCCAATTGTAAAATGTTAATAAAAATTATTGACACTAAAAGATTTTTCATAGAACACATTTTTAGCAATTTCTTATAAACAAGATTCAGTACTAATTATATTAAAGGAAACGCGCATGGTGCGGGACGAAACGTGTATTCGAAATAGAAAATGTAAAAAGGTTTTGAATTCGGTTGAAGTTGGCTTGTATGTACATATGTATGTAATATAATTAATATTTTATGCTCGGATGTTATCCAAATATGACCATTTGCCACCTCAATGCTAGTCACTTTGTCGTTTGTGTGGAGACTTAACTGCTTGAAAAAGTATAGCAGAGAAGCGGTCATACTGAACAAATTGAGGAAGCTGTCGCCGGAGACCGCAGCCCTTTCCACCGAATATGGACGAGAAGAGCCCACTACCAGCCGAAGGGCTTCCGAAAGAAGAAGGAAAGATAGTTCCTCTCTCGGTGATTTGTCTCGGGAGGCCGCTGAACATAAAAAAAACACTTCGCGAAATTAGTAAGCATGTCTCAGAACAGCACTCTTGCAAACATACAGAAGGAAGAGATGCGGAGACGTAGCGAAGGAAGAGGTTGCAGATACGACTCTCCAGATAGCAGGCAATATTCCACGGAGCGATCAATTATCAGCGTTGAGGGCCTTAGAACTCCGCTCGAAACTAAACCGCAAACAAGAAGATATTCATCTGAAGATACAAGGGAGCACACTATCGAACGTCCGAACATCTAGGGACTTAGACCTTCGTAAAGACATGATTCGCTCAGCAGACAACAGGAAGAACGATGGACAGAGGTGTTCTATCGTAATCGCATCATCGAACCTCATCTGAGAGTAAGACCTCATCAGAAATGAGAGGATCCTCTGTAGAAAGGAAAAATCACTCTCCGAGCAAGCGATCAGACTGCCTGGAGAGAACACACACCTCGCCAAGAGAAGAAGGAAAAACCGACGGAACGCATAGAGAGTAAGCAACCTCGCATCCAAAGAAAAGCAAAACTAATTATAGGAAATACAAAAAGGACCAAAAGTACGAGAACTGGGGCGTCCTGATCCTGAGAGAAGATCCGAGGAGATAAGGTCTGGAGCTGGAGTCATGCCATATCTCACAAACCTGGAGAGAGGCATGAGTCCAGACAGTGTAAGTTTCTAAGAATACATATCGTCGATACCAGACACAGCTATAGGCATTAGTAAAAGATACAATCTTAAGTAAAATGACATAAAAGCTAGGTGACAATGAATACACAAGAAATGAAAGATAACGAGCACTAACTCTGCTCAATATACATTTTCCAGAATCCACAACTAGTATGTTAAATAGTCATAAGAAAGGCCTAAACCCAACAACGGATTCATGGTCCTTCGAAGAAAACAGCTACAGATCGGTTTAGTGGACAATAAACTTCCGAAAGAAATATAAATCACCAGACATATGGCTAGCACGCCTACAAAATAGAAAACGACAACTGATATCCGATACAACTTTATTTCCACTCTCAGATATTCTTAGGAATGCGATAGACAACTAAGAAGTAGCAAGGAAGAGTACTATCAACTCTTCTAGGGAGCCCAGACAAATAATGGCATAAGATGTCAAGGTTATGCAGATGACATTGAAATAATAACAGTAGGAACATTCGAGAGCACACTGTGTGATATTGTACAGAGAACGCTCGCACTAACGAAGAAATGGTGCTCTAAAGCAAGGCAAAGAACTAATCCTGCCTATTCTCGAAACGAAATATCTGAAACTTACTATCTTATACATATATATACTTACTGTACAGGATATAAAAATTCTACTTCTACTATAAATAGTTACATATATGAAAAGGGTCCTCCTGAAGACGAATGTAGCAATCGAGCCATTTTATTTTCTCAAATACCTTCAACACTAATTAGCATTATGTCAACATTACAATTAAGGTCTGAATTTCATTCAAATGGCCTCTACGACTTCTTTTGCAGGACCGAATTAGATGAACCCAATTTCGAGTACTTTTTCCGCTAAATCAAGTCGTATGTCATGTATCGCACGTTCAATATTGACTTCTAAAGCTTGAGGAGAGCTGGTTTATTGCTAAGGACCAATGACTTCAAATAAACCCACAAGAAATAGTCTAATGGTTTTAAAT